CCCCAAAACCCCAAAACCCCAAATTGAAGTAGTTATGACGAGTTATGTTAATGATTGAGTAAGTATTTTCTTATTATAGAATTAAGTTTAAATCTTACCACTAGACACGTAATTAATTTTATTCCTCAGATGAGCTTGGTATTAATTTATTCTGAATTACATCTATTATATTAAACATAATTCTTATCTCTAAATAAATTAGATGGGATCAAAGTTAAGGCACTTTGGTGCACTTATGAAGAAAAATTGGATTATTTGGAAAAGGACCCTAGGAGCTTCACTTTGTGAGCTCTTCTGTCCAGTCGCACTGATGGCGATTCTAGCAGTTGTGAGAGTGATTGTTGATTCAGACACGATAGAAGCTCAATCTAACATTCCTTTGAGCAAATTGTTTACACCCACTGACTACCTCAATGAGACTAACATAACTAACTCGGTCCTACAAGGCTAGTTAAAATACGGCTAGTATCTAAAAGACATGGGCAATCTAACAATAGACAAAGTCAATCCAGTAGTCAACTTTCTGACAGCAGGATGCAGGAAAATTCCAAGATCAGATGCTAGGCCTGTCATTGCTTACTCTGCTGGTGATAACTATAAGAATGCTGTGCAAAAGAGTATCTAGAAAATTTGTAAGATTTCTACTATTTTTTACTTATCTTATAGAATCTAATCAAGTTTAGTACACCACAGTTGTTCTCCCAATGTAGATCAAAGCATTAGAAGATCAGTTAAATAATGCTTCGAAATCAACTTCTGAAAAGAATTAGATCAGATCCTAGATCACAGGACTTCAGAGACTTAACGGTACAATTGCTGGATCAATGGTAAACTTCACATATATGCCGTTCAATACTCATGACGAAATAATAAAGTATATCTCAGCTGGTGACTACATGCTAAATGGAGGGAAGAAAGGAATTTGTTTTGGATTCTCCGTTAAAGAAACTAATTCTAGTGACATCGACATTAAGCTTATATTTAATGATCATGAGCAAGAACCAGATGCTAGGCAGATACCTTCTTAAATTGAAGATGCATGGTCAAAGTATGATATTGATTAAGATAAAATATCCTTCAACCTCTACGCTCAGCAAGGATACTCATATCTATAGAATTGGCTAGCAAACGAAATTTTAAGAAACAAAACAGGAAAGTCAAGTGCAGAAATCGCTATGCTTTATGTACCATATAAGGCTGACAAATACATTTCTGATGACTTTGGAATGGTACTAAGTGGTATGATGTCCTTCTTTATGCTACTCATGTACATCCTCCCAGTTTACAGATTAATATCTAACATTGTTGCTGAGAAAGAGTCAAAGGCAAGAGAGAGCATGAGAATGATGGGACTTTCAGACGCTTCCTATTGGCTATCATGGTTCACCTATTACCTCATAATTGTCACAATCATTAGTGTGCTTTGCATCATTATACTCTCAGCAAATGTTTTCAAATATTCTAACAGAGGACTCATATTCTTGTACTTCTGGGTATATGGAATGTCATTATTTGGACTCTGTATCTTCCTGCAAGCATTTTTTTCTACAGCAAGAGTTGCAGCCATTACTGGCACCTTAATATACTTTGGAACAAGTTTCATTACATAAGCTGTTGCTGATCAATCAGTTAGCACAGGAAGTAAGAATGCAGCTTCATTACTTACAACAGTGGCAGTTAGTCTTGGTACTGCTAGTATTGGTCTATTTGAAACTAATGGTATGGGTATTAACTCTGACACTGTTAAAAGTTACTACCTTAATTACTCATTCTAAGATTGTCTGATTATGATGGCTATCTCATTCTTCCTCTTCCTTTGGACAGGAATTTACTTAGACAATGTTCTTCCAAGTGCTTATGGACTTAGAAAACCATGGTATTTCTGTGTAACTAGAGGATACTGGTTTGGAAACAGACCAAGAAGAGAAAGAGTTCAGAATAGATTATCCTAAGATGATTCAGAGAGCTAAGAACTTTTCGAAGCCAAATATATGAAGAAAGAAAACTTTGAACCAGCATCAAGAGAACTTAATGTTCAAGAAAATGAAGATAAAATACTAAAGATCAATGAACTTAAAAAGACTTTTAGCAATGGATTCTAAGCAGTTAGAGGTCTAAATATTAAGATGTATAATGGCCAGATATTTGCACTCTTAGGACATAACGGAGCTGGTAAAACAACCACCATTTCTATGCTCACTGGTTTAATTGAGGCTAGTTCTGGAAGTGCTGAAGTATTCGGATATGATCTTTTTAATGACATGAGTAATGTGAGAAACTTCTTAGGTGTCTGCCCTCAACATGATATCCTCTTTGATTTACTTACGCCTGAAGAGCATCTTGACATTTTCTGTGATTTTAAAGGTGTTCCAAGAAAGGACAAAAAGGAGGAAATCAAAAAAATGTTAATTGATGTTGATGTTTACGCAAATAAAGATACTGAAGCCAAAAACTTATCTGGCGGAAACAGAAGAAAGCTATCTGTAGCTATTGCCTTGATTGGAGGATCAAAGCTAGTACTTCTTGATGAACCTACTGCTGGAATGGACCTAAGTGCTAGAAGAAAACTTTGGAATATGCTAAAGAATTATAAGCACAACAGAATCATTATATTGACCACACATTATATGGATGAAGCTGATATTCTTGGAGATCGTATTGGAATTATGACTGGAGGTCAACTTATTTGCTTAGGTAGCTCGTTATTCTTAAAGAATCGTTTCGGAGTAGGCTATAACTTAACAATGGTGAAGAAATCTAAAGAAACTAATAGCAAAGTTGAAAAGTATCTAGAAAGTAAAATTGGTGATATTAAGAAACTCTCTGAAGTGTCTAGTGAAATAACCTTCTAAATTCCAACAGCTCTTTCATACAAGTTTAAGGATTTCTTCCCTGTCTTTGATTAAGAATTAGATATGCTTGATATAAGAAGCTATGGAATTTCAGTTACTACTCTTGAAGAGGTTTTCTTGAAAGTAGGACATGGAGATGACACTGATGATAATCAAAAGATCAAAGAAGAACTTAAAAAATAGGCTACTGAGCACCATGATAAGACTGATGATTACTCAGTTGCTGACGATCACGAAACAGGAATATGCAATATCTTCTTCACTCACTTAGATGCCATGTTGAGAAAAAGAGTACAACTCTACAAGAGAAATTACAAAGGCTTAGTCGTTGAAATCTTGATACCTGTTTTCCTAGTTTTGATTGGATTTGGATTCTCTAAGGTTCAATTCTTTATCAATGGACCTGTTAGACCTTTAGTTCCATCTTAATTTCCCTTGAAACAAAGAATTCAATACAATAATGAATTCTTCGTTAATACATCAGGATAAACTCTTACACCAAAAATGTTTATTGATAATTTGCCTGATTCAAGCAATGCTTTTACTGCTACTTCCAGATCATATGCCAGTAAATCTAATAGAAGTGAAGTTATATTTGCTTTTGACAATGACACATTTGATGCTAGACTTGAAAGACCTTACGAACCTTTCAGATTTGGTTCATATTTTATATATGAGGCTGATAATGTTAATAAGTAATATAAGATTAACACATTCCTTAACTTAACCTCACAAGATGGAACAGCTCTCTATCCTTAATTCATGTATGAATCAGTTCTTAAAGTTGCTCTAAATAATCCTAGTTTCAAGTTGAGAGTTTCTACTCATCCATTCCCAATTACTGAGAACTTGAGGCAAAGAGCAAAGAGTGCCAGTGGATTTTTCATCGTATTCGTTGTTGCCATTGGATTCGCTATGATTCCAGCTTCAGTTGTTACTTTTATTGTGAACGAGAGAGAGAAAAGCTTGAAGCACATGTAATTAGTTAGTGGCATGAGCTTATCTGCTTACTGGGTTAGCAACATTTGTTTCGATATTGTAAAGTCTATAATACCTTCTGTAATAGTTATAGGACTGATCTATGCTTTTGAGTTGGAGGTAACTTATATCTTTTATAAATTCATTTTAGCTCGATTACGTTTGGATTCTATTCTTGATCTACCCTGTTGGAGTTATACCTTTCTCATATGTGAGTTCATTCCTGTTTACAAGTGAAAACTTATGTCAAACATTAACAATCTTCGTGCATTTCATTATTGCAGGAATTGGTGGAATCATTGCGGGTGTCTTGAGAATTATTGAGTCCACATACTCAGCTGGAGATGCTCTAGTTTGGGTTTTCAAAGTTATTCCTACATTTTGTCTTACCGATTCCATTCTATATCAATCACTTAAAGCAAGATTGATTTAAATAAGACCTGAACTAAATAAAGATGATCTTGATATTAATGCTCTAGGTGGTGATATTCTTATAATGTTTGTGCATGCAATTTTCTGGACTTTAATGCTCATACTGATAGAAGCAGGAGCTTTTAGCTGCATTGGAAGATGCTTCGGCAGAATGATGGGAAGAAATGTTCATCCTAAGACTGACCTCAATCAGGATGAAGATGTTATTGAAGAAGAATAAAGAGTTGATAATCTAGGAAAGGATTAGCTCAAAGTTAGAGTCAACAAATTTAGAAAAGTATACTCCTCAATGAACAGAAAGCCTTATTGCGCTGTTGAAAAAACCTCATTTGGTTTGGATTATGGGGAATGCTTTGCTTTGCTAGGAGTAAATGGAGCAGGAAAGACAACAACATTCAAAAGTTTAACTGGTGGTATCGCTCCTACATCTGGAGAGGTTACTATTTGTGGTATGGATATTCAAACCGAATTTAGCAAAGTCAGAAAACTAATTGGATATTGTCCCTAATATGATGCTATTTTCCCACTAATGAGTGTTGAAGAACATCTTTATTTCTACTCTAGAATTAAAGGCATCAGGAAACATTTAAGAAGAACACTAGTTGAGAAACAAATCAAGGAAATGAGTTTAGAAGAGCATAGATACAAGCCAGCTGGAACTCTTTCAGGAGGAAACAAGAGAAAGCTATCAGTTGCTATGTGCGTTATTGGAAACCCACCAATCATTCTTTTAGATGAACCATCAGCTGGCATGGATCCAGAGGCTAGAAGATTCATGTGGTCAGTGGTAGCAAAAATCTCTTAATAAAGAAAGAAGAGTGCAGTAATTTTGACTACTCATTCAATGGAGGAGGCTGAAGCTCTCTCAACAAAGATGGGCATTATGGTTTAAGGTGGCATCTTTAAGTGCTTTGGCTCAAGTCAGCATATAAAGAGCAAATATGGAACTGGGTATGAAATTGAGGTGAAAGTGAGAAAATAATCAAATGACGAACTTAAAATGATGATTGAAAGATTTGGATTATCATCAAAAGAGTCAATTCACTTCAATGAACTTGAAGGAATAATGAGATAAAGAATGGTGCATGACTTCCTAATTGGCGAGTTAAGATAAAACGGACTTGGAAATGATCTTTGTCTTGAAGCTGATGAACACAATGGACTTGTAGAAGTGAGAAATTTCATGAGCTGGATCTATGTTGAATAAGCTGGAATGAAGATTATTGAAGGTCTATGCGATGATTTTGATTAAGTTGAAATCCTCGAGCATTACAACGATTACTATAAGCTTAGAGTTCCTAGAAAGGATAAATCAATCGGCTATGTTTTCAGTCTTATTGAAGGCAAAAAAGAACATTTCAACATTAGTGAATATTCAGCATCTCAAACAACCTTGGAGCAAATCTTCCAAACATTCGCAAACCTAAAAATAGATCAAGATCACATATTGAAGTTCCATAAGAAAAATGGAAGTTTCTAAAGAGCTGCAACTAAGAATTTTGATAAAGCAGATCACTTATCAGTTAATGATATGTCAGATGACCCTAAGAAGAAAAATAAGAGAACATGATTTCTAAATTACATTCTATTTTTAATTTCATAATTTTTTTTCTCTAAATTTACAATTTAAGGGGTTTTGGGGTTTTGGGG